AGGGAGACGACCTGACTGTCCCAGCTGCTAATCCTGCACATTCCGAGGATGATTCGGACGGAGATAGCGAGTCGGAGAGCAGACGGCACAGGAAGAGGAAATGGCCGTCCGCCCTACGTTCCGACTCGGAGCATGATGAGGATCTGAATCTGAGTGTGTAAGAGCTTCGTTCATCCGTCAGAGACATGTTTTCCCTTTCACTGCACCTCTCTGTGTGTCTCTCTGACCCTCCCTCGCTCACATGGGTGGTCTCTCTCTCTCTCTCTCTTTCTGCTGCATTCCGGCTGTTTCTCTCTCTCCTCCACCCATCCATCTCTTGCACTGTCTCCTCCCCTAGAGGGGTCTGTCACTCTTGGTCTGTGACTGACCCCGCGCTGAGTCCTGCCACCAGTCTGGATGCACACGCTCGTGCTCGCTCACATACTAGCATATACCCTGATCGCTGGGTCAGATCGACCTGATGATTTGCTGATTATTGTACTAATCCTGCTATTGTGACGTTTTGTCTTCACTGCTCCAGTAGTCATAGGGACTGGTCATTGTCTCCCCCCTCCTCACCCAGCACAACTTGCTGACAGGCCCAGTTAAGCTTTTATCACTATAAGCTACTGTTCCCTTTCTGCTGTGTACTCGCTGCTTGTTCAGTGCCCCTCTCGCTCTCTTCCTGACTCTGTCTCAGTGTCTCTTTATCTCTTTCTATCTCATTCATGCTCTGGTTTTTTTGCTCTCTCTCGTGCATGCTCTGCTGTCTATCCTGGAGTCTATATCATTCTTCTCTCTTTGTGGCTTTTAGTCTCAGTTCATCTATCACTCTCTGCTCCTCCCTCTGTCTCACTTTTCCCCTCTGTGACTGTCACTGTCTGTATATGAGGCTGCATCCCTGTCCGTTTCTCATTCGAGCCCTGTGAAGACCAGGATATGTTGCGATTCTAAAGATGCGGGACTGGTGGATGCGTTACCGACTGTTCTGTCCAATCCTGGGAGATTACAGTCAAGGTCCGTGGTCGGGGAGAAATCTATTGAGGACCAATGAGGGTGGTGAGTAACTTCATCATCCGCATTTTTCACATCAAGGTACCAACTGCAAATTAATCCAACTGCCCCGCTCTCTCCCTCTAGCCCTGCATCAATCCCCAAAATAACCTCACCATTCTGCTCTGTCCCCATAGCATTGTCTCGATCCCAACGTAATCCCATTGCTCCGCTCCGTCCCCATTGCCCTGGATCAATCTTCAAACTAATCCCACTGCCCCACTCTCTGTCCATATCGCTGTGTCAGTCCCCAAACTAATCCCAAGGCCACGCCCCACCCAACCATCGCCCTGCATCAATTGCCAAACTAATCCCACTGCCCCGCGCCGTCCCCATTGCCCAGTACGTCTTCCCAAACTGATTCCACTGCCCTGCTATCTCTCCACAGCCCTGTATACATTCTCAAACTAATCCCACTGCCCTACTCCCACGCCACAGCCCTGTATCAATTCTGAAACTAATCCCATAGCACTGTGTCAATTGCCAAACAATCCCATTGCCCCAACCCTTCTCCATAGCACTGCATCAATCCCCAAACTAATCCCACTGCCTCTCTCCCTCCCCATAGCCCTGTCTCAATTCACAACTAATCTCAATGTCGCGCTGTCTCACCATAGTACAGGATCAATCTCCAACTCATCCCACTGCCCCACTCCCTCCCCTTTACCCTGTATCAATCACCAAAAATATCCCACTGCCCTGCTCCCTCTGCATAGCCCTGTTGCAATCCACAAACTAATCCCACTGCCCATCTCCCTCCCCTTAGCACTGTGTCAATCTGCAATCTAATCCCACTGCCCCACTCCCTAACCATAGCCCTGCACCAATTCCCAAACTAATCCCACTGCCCTGCTGCCTCCCCATACCCTGTATGAATCCCCAACCTAATGCCACTGCCCTGCTCCCTCCCCATGACCCTGCATCAATCCCCAACCAATCCCTCTGCTCTGCTCCTTCCCCATTGGCCTGTATTGGTCCTCAAACCAATTCCACTGCCCCGCTCTGTCCCCGTAGCCTTGTCTCCATCCCAACCGAATCCCACTGCACATCTCCCTCCCCGTTGCCCTGTGTCAATTGCCAAACTAATCCCAGTGCCCCACTCTCTGCCCATAGTGCTGTGTCAGTCCCCAAACTGATTCCACTGCCGTGCTATCTCTCCACAGCCCTGCATCAACCCCAAACTCATTGCACTGCCCAGCTTCCTCCACACTGCCCTGCATCAATCCACAACGAAACCCATTGTCCCACATTAATCCCCAAACTAAAACCATGACCTGCTTCCTCCTTGTTGCCATGTTTCAATCCCAACCTCATCTCCACGCTCTGCTCCCTCCCACATGCCTGTATACATTCCCAAACTAATCCCACTACCCCGCTGCCTCGTCACAGCCCTGCATCAATCCCCAAATATATCCCGTTGCCACACATCCCTGTCCATAACCCTGCATCAGTTCTGCCCCGCTGTCTCCCCATTGCCATGCTTCAATCCCCAAAATAATCGTTCTTCCGGTGTTCCCCCCATAGCCCTGCATCAACCCCAAACTAATCCCACTGCCCCGCTCCGTCCCCGCAGCCCTGAATCGATCCCCAAACTGACCCCACTGTCATGCAGTTTCTGCAATGGCCTGTATCAATCAAACTAATCCCACTGTGCTACACCCTCCCCATTGCCCTGTATCAATCACCAAATAACCCCATTGCACTGCTGCCTTGACATTGCCCCATATCAATCCCCAAACGAATCTCACTGCCCTGCTCCCTAGCCATTGCCCTGCGTCAATGTCCAATTAATCCTACTGCTCTGCTCCCTCCACATTGCACTGTATCAATCCCCAAACTACTCCCATTGTCCCATTCCCTCCCCGTAGCCCTGCTTCAATCCTAAAACTAATCCCACTGCCGTGATCTCACCCCACAGCCGTGAATCAACTCCCAACCTATGCCCTATGCCCTGATACTTCCCCATAACCCTTTATTAATCTTCAAACTAATCCCACTGCCCCACTCTCTCCGGTTGGGCCTACATCATTCCCCAGACTTATCCCAATGCTCCAATGCTCCGCTCCCTCCCCATGGGCCTGCGTCAGTCCCCAAGAGAATCCCACTGCCCCTCTCCCTCCCCATGGTGCTGTATCAATTCCCAAACTAATCCCACTTTGCGGCTGCCTCCCCATTGCCCTGCATTAATTCACAAACTGCTCCCACGCCCCGCTCCTACCCTGTTGTCCTGCATCAGTCCCCAAACCAATCCCCCGCTTCCTGCTGCCTCTACATTGCTCTGTATCAATCTCCAAACCAATGCAACTCCTCCGCTAACTCCCTATTGCTCTGTATCAGTCTCCAAACTGATCCTACTGGCCTGTGCTCTCCCCATAGTCCTGTATCCATCCCCAAATAATCACTCTGTCCTCATCTCTCCCGATAGCCCTGTGTAAATCCTCAAACTAATAGCACCGCCCCGTTCCCACCTCATGTCCTCGTATCAGTTCCCAAATTCGTTCGACTGCCCCATTCCCTCCCCATAGCCCTGTATCAATCCCCTAAGTAATCCCACTGCACCGTGTTCTCTTCATGGCCTGTATCGATCCCCAAAATAAACCCACTGTCCCACTCCAACCCCATAGCCTGCATCATTCCCCAAACAAATCCCCCGCCTCTCGGTTTCTGCGCAGCCCTATATCAATCAAACTAATTCCACTGCACGACACTCTCCCCATTGCCCTGTATCAATCCCAAACTAATCCCACTGCCCACTCCCTCTCCATTGCCCTGTCTCAATCCCCAAAATAATCTCACTGCTCTGCTCTCTCCCCATAGCCCTGTATCAATCCGCAAACTAATCCCACTGCTTCGTGCTCTCCCCATAGCCTTGTACCAAACCCAAAATAATTTCACTGTACAGCCACCTCCCCATAGCCCTATATTAACCCCCAATGTAATCCCACTGCCCTGCTCTCTCTCAATAGAATTGCATCAATCCCCAACTAATCCCGTTGCCCCACACTGTCCCCACAGCCCTTGAACAACCCCCAAACTAATCTCACTGCCCCGTGCTCTCACTGTGGTCCTGTGTGAATTTCCAAACTAATTCCGCTTCCCTGCACTCACTCCACAGCCCTGCATCGCTCCCCAAGCCAATCCAATTGCCCCAAACACCCTATTGCACTGTAATAATTCTCAAACTAATCCCACTGTCCTGCGCCCTCCACATAGTCCTGTATCAATCCCCAAACTAATCCCGCTGCACTGCTCCCTCCCCGTGGCCCTGTATCAATCATCAAAATTATCCCAATGCCCTCTGCTGTCCCCATAGCCCTGTATTAATCCCACTGCCCTGGCTCTCAACCCATAGCCCTGTATCAATCCCCAAAATAACCCCACTGCACCACACCATCCCAATAGCTCTGTAACAATCCCAATCTAATCCCACTATTCTGCTCCCTCTCTGTTGCCTGGCATCAATCCCCATGTCCCATTGCCTGTGCATAGCCCTGTATCAATCTCCAAACTAATCCCATTGCTGTGCTGTCTCTCCATAGTCCTGCATTAATTCCTAAACTCATCCCAATGCCCTCCTCTCTTCGCACTGCCCTGTATCAGTTCCCAAATTAATCCCACTGCCCCGCACTCTACGCCATAGGACTGTATCAAGTCCCAAACTAATCCCACTGCCCTCCTCCCTCCCCATTGCCCTGTATCAATCCCTAAACTAATCCCACTGCCCCGCGCAGTACGCTGTAGGGCTGTATCAAGTCCCAAACTAATCCTACTGTCCTTCTCCCTTCCCATTGCCCTGTCTCAATCCCCAAAATAATCTCACTGCCCCACTCTCTCCCGAAAGCCTTGTACCAAACCCAAAATAATTTCACTGCACAGCCACCTCCTCATAGCCCTGTATCAATTCCCAAAGTAATCCCACTGCCCTGCTCTCTCTCCATAGATTTGGATCAATCCCCAACTAATCCCAT